TTTCCCACTGCCTGAGCCTTTTGTTTTTATCCCAAAGCTCAGAAATAAGGGGAGTTGGAGAGAGGGAGACAAATAATCCCTAAATCACTTCTGTTTGTCTCCAATCTGCTTGGTGTCCCTCTGACTTTAGCTTTGCTCCTTTCTGGGGTGATTTCAAGACAAAGGTTAATGTTTGTTTAGCAATTATGTTCCTGTGCTAAGCTCTTTTAATCATTATCTCATTTAATCCTCCCAATAGCAGTGCAACTTAGATACAATGATTATCTCCTCGTTTTTTTTTTTTTTTTAATAGATGAGATGACAAACCTGGAAAAGTTGGGTAACATCATTACATTTTCACATAGAGTAGCTGACTGAGGACTTGAATACAAGTCACCTGCCCCTAGAGCCTCTACCATAAATAACCCTGCTAAATCATATTTAAAAATGTTTTTCCCCTTCCTGAGCAGATCTAATGAGACAAGCTGGATAAAGAATCAAAACTGAATGAGAGGAAAGCACAATAAGGCAAAACAAAACTCTCCAATAGGTAGACTTTTCTGTTTAGATTGTCAAACTCACATAAAGCCAAGGGGTATCTAAAAGAGCCATCTGCATAAGTTCTATACCTATATACCTGTGATTAAAAATTACAAATCAAGGCTTATAAACTTTTTTTATCCCAACTTAACCAAGAATCATGTACCTGGCTCAAAATGTCAATCCACAGCAGATTTAATTTAGATACCTATTCTTAAAAAGTTCAGTTTTAAATAGTTGAAGAATAGACATACACTTCCTGCTTGGAACATGCTGCCACTCCTTGTCTTGCATTATCTGCTTCCCTCACTACCTGCTTTGCCCTTGTAGGCATTTGAGTTTGAAATCTCTGCTTAACAGTACAAACTTGGGTGGATGTGGTATGATTTTCTTTGTATACATGGTATATTAATATACAAACACAAAATTCACCTGAAGACAGCATCTGATGAGGCATTTACTTTATTATCATGCTTATTATGTTCCTCTCCATTTTTAAAAGTACTAACATTATATTTACTCTTTGGATTCTAATTCATTTAATTCTTTGTATCCATTGGGTAAAGTAGATATAAGTTCAGAGGAGGAAAAGGGCCTTCTTGAAGATGACTTTTGGGTGGATTTCTTAAAGATGTTTAAAAGAAGGGTAAGGACTTGCTTTTCTGACTTTTACTTCTCCCTTTATAAAGATGACATTGTGTTCAAGTTCAAGGTCCAATCAAATGTTAGCATATAGGTGGGGGTGTTTGAGTTCATCAGAGGAGGTAATAGGCAAGTTGCTTTCCTCTGAACCTGTTTCCTTATCTATAAAATGCAGGTAATGATACTTACTTCACATAATTTATATGAGGTTTCAATAAAATATCCAACAAAGTGCCTAGCACAGATTAGAAATCCAAAACATGTAGGTTTCTATTTCCCTTTCTTCATTCATCTCAGAAACTTGGATTGAATACAGATACAGCAGTGATATCAAAGTATATAAAAGGATTTCTGATGAGAATGTCAGAGAAAGGTTGCAATAAAAATGTACTCTGGCCAACAAAAGCTCCTTAAAATCACCACATCATGTCAATATACCTTATTTGAATTCATTTCTGGATATGTGCATGCAACATCAGTGAGTGTATAAGCATGTGTGTGCACACATGCAGGGGACAGTGGTGTATGGAGTGATAATCTTGCATTTGTAAGCGTGAATGTGTATGTACAGAAAGATACAGGACTCAAGGAAGAGAATACATTGCACAAAATAGTTGATGGTTACCCTTATTTATGTATGGTAACTTATAGTACATAAAATAACATCCGTTTATGATGTTGGTCTTATCTTCTAATTAAAATCATAGGCATGAAGCTTCTTTATACCTGCATAAAATAAGCAGTTTAATTTCTCTGCACCAGGGGAAAAATGATTTCATTGCCTGTTATGTAGCCCATCGGTACACAGTGTAAAGCCTGTGAGGGCAGATATGAAAGCCTCATTCTTACATAGTATATCTGTCCTCTTAAACTCTACAAAGAGCATCGATGCATCCTCTGAGATTTTTTTCAAGGGCAGTGGGGGTGCATTTACCAGTTACTCCTACCCCTTCACCGTTCCAAAGGAGGAGAAAATTATTCTGTCTATGAAAAACCCATCTAAGACTTCCCCCCTAGATTATTCACACATGAATGAAAAAATATATTGTACTGCATCCATTTCTTAAACATTTGCTGATAACTAGCAATAACTTATTCCAATGAAGCAAAAGCAAATATTTGAGAAAAAGAAAGTAAGTTTGTCTTGGAAGCTCAAAGAAATAATAGGGAAAAAGCACTATGAATCTTAGCAGTTAAAGGGATTGAATTTGCTTTAAAGCTTACTTTATAATACTAATATCTGCTATGGCTAACATTTTAAATGTACTGCTATTAATAGTTTCTTTTTATAGGATAGGGAGATAGGCTTGTGCTTAATTTTGTCCTTTGGGCCCAAGGCTCACACCATGTTCAGAAATAGCCCTGACAACTGGCGGCCATGTAGCTAAAGACAGGAAGAACTGTAAGAGGAAATAAATACATTTGCTCATTTAATCGCTCAGCAAACAATAAGAACTCAAAGAATTTCAGTAGAGCTAGATAATAAAGGTCAAAAGAATTATGCTACTTCTGAAACCAGAGACATAAGTGGGGTTGAGTTTTGCCAGGCTGTTTTAAGGAATTCAAATATAGGCATATCAAGATGAACCATTGAATTGTTTTAAGTAGGAGATGTCTAAATCAAACATATACTTGATAATTTATATTATAGGATGACTGTTCTGAACACGGTGCACAAAATGGTTTGGAGGGAACACAGCTAAAGTTGTGAGAATGGCTAGGGGTATCTTCCAGTAATCCTGGGCTGAGCTGATCACATTTGGACTAAGGCAATCAAAGGATACAGGGAGTAAATTGACCTGATTTTGGAGCTGGTAGGTAAAATGCACAGAACTCAGAGACTAACATTAGGAGAGGAGCAAAACAGTAGAGGCAAGGGTGAATCTGAGGCTTTGACCTCATAAAAATGGTTGTGGAAACACACACTCAGGCAGGAAGCACTTGGGGAGGAAGAGGGCCTGGAGGAGGTGCTTTGGGGGCTTCTTGTGTCTGTGGTGTTGGTGGGACATCCTAATAGAGGCAACTACTGGGAAGCTGAATTTTCAAATCTTAAACTGAGAGGGGGAGAACTCATGTTAAAATTTAATTTATGACTTAGTTTCAAAATAGTAGTAGTTGAAAAAAAACCAAACCCAAACAAGAGTGGAAGAGGTTGCTAGAAGCAGTGTGACAATATGTTGAGTGAGAAGAGAAGGAAGTCAAAACATGGGTGCAGAAACATCATATTTAAGGGCCAATAAGAGAAGGTAGAGTATTCAGGATCGGTGTAGAGGGAAGCCGGATGCCTGTGGTGTTCCCTGGAAGGGAGAACTTTAAGAAGGACGCAGGTGTCAGTGGTGTGAAAGACCATTCCCAGCTTCCCGAAGGGAAAGGTCTGAGCACCTTCATCTATTAGATTTAATCCCAGAAAGTCAATCATGCTTCTGAGTGAAACCAGAGTCACTGAAGTGTTGTAAGCATAAACCACATTGCACCGAATGGAGGGTGTTTTCAAGTCCTGAAATGTAAAGAGAAACCCCTTGTCAAGGTGTGTCTAGTAGAGTCGCTGAAGATTCTTTGACACAAGCATTTTCAGTGCAAACATTTTTGCCACTTAACTGGTCAGAAGGCAATTGTTTCAGTAAGAAAGATAAAATCATGAAAAGTAATTTTTGTGTCTAAATTAGCTAAAGAATCCATAGTTGATGCTCTCAGAGACTGTTGTGCTTGGTAAACTTTCGGTTTTGATGGTGGGAGGGATGACCATGTTCACTGAATGGTTTGATAACTGGTATGTTATTTTTTGATGCAGCATGCAGCCTGGCTTTACACTCTTAATTCACACTTCTGGGAAGTTTCATCATCATGTTTTCCATAGAGTCAATATACATAGTTGTTAAACACTCTTTTAAGGTCACCCTGCCTACTCATCACTGTGGAGACCATTATGAAGGGTAAGTTTTATACTATATAAAAATGGGAAATCTGAAACCAAACTGTCAAATGAAACTATCAAACCAAACTTTTTCTTTTATGGCAAAATTGCTTTATGGCCAATTAGTTATGTGGTTAAAAAATGCTGCTGCAAAGAACTTACAGTAAAACTACTTAGAACCTTGCCAAGGACATTCATATGCCCAGTGAACAAAGGCAGTGTGGACATCCTCAAACTTGCTATTGTGGCCTGAAGGCTCTAAATACAAAGTAACTTTCCAAGGTGACCCTATATGGACAGAGGCGTGTTGAGATTTGAACCCGTTCTCGCTGATGCCAGGATTTTGTCACTGGACCGTTCAATCCATTTGACTTGAAGATGACAGACTTTCTTGGGCAGCAATAGTTGGCTCAAATGTCTTTTGGGTTATGTGCTTTGGAAAATATCCAGAAGGCAAGGATCATAAAACCACTTATATCAATTAAATCACTGAAGTTATTCAGAAAGAACAGAACAAACAGTGGGATCTTAGGAGCGTCCTTTCCATGAGTAAAGAGCATTGAGAGAAACAATGTGATGGAGAACAGTAGGTGGAGGGAGAAAGGGAGAGAGATGTGTGCTGATCTAAGGTCAGGGCACAGTATCCCTTAGAACATACTCCCAATGTGCAAAAGACGGTCATGGCAAGTGAAAGTAAAAATCGAAAACTGAAATCTTATATGTATGCAGACCTAACCTTGTACAGTATTTCAGCAATGAAGGATTAAATCAGGAAAAAGAGACACAAACCAATATTTCATAAGGAGGGCCTGATACCTCTTTGTATGCTGTGAAATACAGATACAGGTGACTTTATAGTTAGGCTTTAATTTATTGCATTTATTTCTCCTACTCACTAAATCTATATCCCTCCTCCTTTCTTTAGATCATGCTTCTTAGTGATCCTGAAATGGAGAGCAGCATATTGATCAGCTCGGACGAAGGGGCGACCTACCAGAAATACCGGCTTACCTTCTTTATCCAGAGCCTGCTCTTCCATCCCAAGCAAGAGGACTGGGTACTGGCCTACAGTCTCGATCAAAAGGTGAACCAGTTCTATTTTCATTCATATCTTGTCAGCCTGGTCCTACCCAGTGAAAAACCCTTGTTTATGCAATCCAGATTTTGGAGGGGATTCAATGGCATTTCATCATTCTAACCAAGTTGATTTTATCTGCAGCAACTAGTCTTCCTTTCTTTTCTTTAGTATCAAAATATGCAGACAGTTATATTTCATTTATTGGCAATGCTATTTATCATTTCATAGGTTTAAAATAGTTTTCTCTAGAATTTTACTCATTTGACCTTTAAAACAACCCTGTGAAGAAACTAGGGACTATGTGTTCATAATAATTTTAAGGAGTGTAGGAAACAAAGGTACAGAAAAGCTAAGGTGCATGTTCAAGCCCGCCCAGCTAGTAGTGGATCCAGGTCTTGAATGCATGTTGTTAGATTTCAAGACTAGACTATATCCCATCACACCTTGATGCCTTGATTTGAAAAAAATTTGATATAGCGTTATTCTCAGTTTAGCTGAGGAAGGGAAACTTCACATATGTCTATGCTGTTATTTGCCAAAGGTGCAGTCAAGATATAGTGACCTATAAGTGACCTATAGTGACCTCCTTAAGCTCCTAATCCATGTATCAGGCTCCGTACTTGACCTTGTCTCTTGTGTGTCTCAGATGCCTCCAGATTGAGTATATTCCAAAAATAACCCACTGTTCTACCCCTACCCCCAACATAATTTGCTCTCTTAGTATTTCAGCTGCAATTCCAGAACTGCAACTAATTATATACATTTAGTTGCAAAAGTGAGAAACCTAGGAGATATCCTAGTAATTCCTGTTTCTTAACCATTTCTACCCATCATAGTCTTTTCTATAAATATCTCGTTTCCATCCATTTCTTTCTATTACCACCACCATTCAGACATAGGTTACGTTTGCTATTGGAACTTTTGCTAGAATCTCTCCCAGTGTATTCACACAATAGCCTAAATATTATATTCTTCAAATATAGATCTTGTGATTTCATGCCTTTGCTTAAACTCCTTCAGCACTTTCTCATTGCCCCATAAATAAGGCTAAGTTCTCCATAGATCTTTCAGTGCCTGTGCTGGTCTCTCCTTTCTTATGATTCACTGTTATCCCTTCCATTTGAATGATTGTCTTTCATTCCTTCACCCCAGTTGTCCACTGTGCTCCCTTTCCTAGATCTAGAATCTTCTTCCCAAAGTAAACTTCATCACTGTCTCATCTCACACCCAGAATTACTCCCTCAGAATGTCTTCCCTAAACTCCCTAACAGTTAAATCCCCTTAGGTATTCTTTCACTCCATCAAAATACCCATCATCGTTAAGATTTTACATTGATTGATGTGAGTTTTGGATCATTTGCATCAAGCTCCAGGAAGACAGGACTGTTGTACAGCACTCTGGTATAACTGAGTATGAGTTACTTAATAATGCTCATTAAATATTGGTTACATAAACAAGTTAGTTGATGAATGTGTAAATGCTATGGTAATGAACCTTCTAGAGTCCATCAACTTATACTTAACACAAGGGATCTTAGATTTTCTTCTCTGTATTTCCTGTCATCTCAGAACCTTAGTACTATTTTGATGCCAAATTATTATGTAATATGGTAGAATCAATCAGTGGAAGGAAAAAGATAATTACAAACACTGTCTTGCATAGAGATATGTAGAAAATAACCTTGGTTGGAGAGCTCCTTCTCTGTCCTTTTTTCAAAATCCTGAAACAGTTGCTCTTCAGCATACATTTGAATATTTGATTTATAATGTGTGTGTGTGTGTATGTGTGCATGTGTGTGAGATGTCAGCACCTTTAAACAATAATTTCAACATAACCTTTATATCTCTCATTAAGGAGCCTCATGGTGGGCGCCAGGTGCTTAATGCAATCCCCTAAGGACACCCAGATGACATTTGCAGAGCAAAAGCCATTGCAAATACATTTCTTTCATGGTATCAAGTGGATATTGTGTGAAAGACTTAGCCAAATGTCAGATAGTCTGTGAGTTTAGATGCTTAGAATAGCCAGAAAATTTGAAGCTTTATTGAAAAAAAAATAATATATATTTGGATATTGCTAAATGACTGGATGCTAACTTATTTAGATGAAGCCCAGGCCCCTGACCATGTTTTTATTTATTCAGAGACAAGCTGGGTTAGAAGCAACAGACATCTCATGGCAGGGGGTTAATAAAGCAAATGCAACGTGTCCTGTGTGTATCTGGAAGGCGTATGTTCTCCTCCATGTCCACAGTGCTAAGAACATCTGGGGCATGGCTAATGAGCTACCCTTGTGGGTATAGTGCATTCAAAATACTTTCAGACTGGGTGGCTGCTTTTTTTCGGAAACATGACAGTGGGTGTTGTGGATTTACCTAATCACATTACACATTTGCGGATGCATTTTTGAGAAGGTATTCTTTCCTGTTGACATCTTTTACATGATGTGACTGGACTTTCTTCAGGCCCACTAAGTCTCTGATGGATGCCCTGCCATTCTTTTGAATAAATGGTTTGAGGAGCTAGATGATGCCTTTGGCAACATTTGTAGAGTTGGCCTAAAACACCAGGCTCCAGTTATCCTATCTTCAGTAGAATTTTTCTTTATTGGGGGACAATTTATTGGTTCAGAGTCAAAGAATGATCCTGGGCAGCAGCAAATGAAGACACAAGTGTAGTTGAGATTGATATTCACATGTCTTATTTCAGACTGGATCCTTGTCTGATGGGCATGCATTGAGGCGGCTGGCTGCTTCTAGACAAAATGAAAAGTGTGGTAGTTAGGTGACTGCAGCATCAAAGGGAGATGTTGTGGTGAGGAGTGAATCGATGTTTCCATTATTGTGCCTTTGATGAAATGCACTAGCAATTTCTTTAGAATCGGTAAGACTATCTCATTAGGTTGTGGTATTACAAAAGACCTAATTGAATGATATTTTAAAAGGACAATATCCAATTGCTAACTCAGTGCTGCAGGGTACTTGCCAGGAGATCTCACTGAGTAAAAGGTATTTGGGGGGGGGGAATTAAGGAAATGCCTTCTGGATAGAACACTGTATCCAGAAATTAAGAGCTGCATATTGCGTTGAGGCACTTCATGGCAGTTTGTGGATTTACAGGGAAATGTGGCTACCTTTGACTGGTCCAAGTCAGGTTGTGGGTGAAGATCTTGCCAGCCTTATAATTTCCAAAGCTGTGAAGGATTGGGAGTAAAGGGGCAAATGCACCTTGCTCTTGACCCCACTGGAGTACCAAGCCACTGCATTTCTGATGCATCCCAGACTACCAAAGCCCTCTCTGTTTCCTGCAAATCTTGACTTCGACTTTTGACTAAGTCCTTCCACTTTGTCTATCCCTTGAACTTACCAATTCCTCCTCACTCCTGTAGGGCTCTACCCTACAGGTTCTCCCGCCATCTTGTATTTTAATACTAAAGGACTCAGTGCCAAGTATATACAATAGATTTTATCTTGGGCATCAGAATCTTAAGAGTGTTTCATATGAATATTTGAGATTAAAAAGTCAGTGGCCCTGATATGATATGGGTGACGAAATTGGAAATAAGAAAGGATACTTCTCTTTTCTCAGAAACAAAACTCTAGAACATCTTCTAAGGGCTGTGTGTTTACCAGTTGTTTAAGAGGCAAGATTCTCTTTTGTTTCTATCAGGTTACTTCCTGCATGATGACTGAAACAGCTTTTGTTGTAATGTTTTGGATTAGCTGAAGGGCTCAGTGGTCTTATAACCGAAAATTTTTGAAAGATTTTGAGATGGGTTTTGAAGACATTGCAATCCTCTAAATAGATAGGCGCTGTTCTCATTGCTGTAGAAAGCTGGATGTTTCACCATCCTTCATTTTGACAAGAGACTTAGTGTTGTTTTTTAAAAAATGGGCACATTCTTGGTGGTACTCACAGATACATACATCCTGGCACGGGGCCTTGCAGAGGAGATAGAGAGTTGAATGTATCTATTTTTCTGCATGAAAGGTGGGATTGCAAAGCTCTCGATTATCATTTATCTTCTTGGCAAAATGAAACTTTAACAAATACAGCAGGCTTTGGAAATCAGAGATGAGCAATTCAGTGAGATTTTAGACTGTTGTTTTTCAGACACTTTTTTGCTAGACTGGACTAGAATTGTCCATAATTTCAGTGTGAAAGCCAGTTTCTTAAACATTAGTACACATCAGGAAGGGCTGCTGGTATCATCATTGGGGGTGGGTGTGCAGCTGTGGGTTTCTTTCTTTCCTTTTTTTTTTTAATCATCTTCTACTAGCAAAGTTCAATATTATCTGACTGACAGACATGTTGGTTAAGAAGCTGATGTCATTTGAGGCACGGTCCCTGGCAATGCTGGGGCTGTGCGGGAGGAGGTAGTGATGGTTACCCCCCTGGTTTCCGCATCATGCACCTGCGGGGTCCTGGTGAACTAAAGTGTTGCTGGCGTGTGGAGGTTCTGCAGAAGGAAGTTTAAATCTGTACTTCTGGAATCTTGGATACAAATAAAGCTGTTCCTTTCATTTATATTCTCATATAAACCCACAGATTAGATATATAATTGTATTCAGAGCCTCCAGGATTAGCAGGTACTGATAACTTTCCTCAACAGCTATTGGCAGAAACAGGATTCATGTCTCCCCACCTGGTGGGGATAAAGCTGTTTGGGGATTAACTAGGGATGATCAAGGTTTTGAAGCTTATCCCCCATGGACTGAAGTAGGAGTGAAGGGCACCTTTTATTTAAAGAAAAACATTGCATTTTCAGTAGGTCCTCCTCCATGCCTATAAGACCTTTTTTTATATCATTCAAGAGGAGAAAAACCCGTTGCCCCACTCACCTGTGACATGCTGACACCACTCCTCTAGATGTCTTACTGGTACAGTGGGCATGTATGAACTCCATCACCATAGAAACACCAGTTGCCATGAGGCTGTTTCCTGAAGGTGAAATTAAGGACAGCAGACCAAGAATGGCCCTATTTATTAATTAAGGAGGTGGAGCA